CTAAGGATGTTAGATGTTATTGTGCTCAAGATACACAGAAGTTTGTAGTTTTAAAGTCATATGACTAAAGACTTTAGATGTTGTACTAAATGGGCTATCATATAGAAATTTGAGGTTTGTATCAAGTGACTAAAAACATAGATTTGAATTTGAGTATTGTGTTCAGTAGGATATTCATCTTTTGACCAGAGTGCATTGAATTACCAACAGAAAATTACTTGGTTTAAAAAATATATTAAATTGTAAGGATAATTTTATTTATTTTTACGTCTATCAACTTATACGATACTGTAACTAAACTGTATACCAGTCTAAGCTTATTATTAGTTTGAATAGTGTATTATATGGGTAATGTATGGTGTTCATTATTATAATATTCATAATCTAAAAACAAAAATTGGTAATTGGTAGAATTCCAAAACCATTTTCTTTTGTTAAGGGAAATTGTTCGGAGCCTTTTCATAAGATCTAAAAAGCTTTAGAAACTAGTAGTTTTAAAATCTAGAGTAATTACAGTAAAAGGTTAGGAGTACACGTTATTCTTCCGAGGTGATTAATTCATGTAGTTTCATAAAGATTCTTCATTCTTCCCAGAGAACGAGAAAACAGCTTGCAACAGTGTGATTCTTTTAGTAGACAAGCCACCTTACAAAATATGGCAAGACCCCGAAAGGTAGGTGGAAGGTGATTTATGTAACATAAGTGTGGTTTCTTGCCTGAGTTGTGAAGTTTAGATGAAATTAACACATTATTAAATTCTCAGAGCCAATATCTTTTAGTATGGTGTTTGTTTCTAGATTTTCTTGTTCTAATATTTTAATCTTTCCTATAGATTTTCTTGTTCTAATATTTTAATCTTTCCTATAGATTTTCTTGTTCTAATATTTTAATCTTTCCTATAGATATCTTGTTCTAATATTTTAATCTTTCCTATAGATTTTCTTGTTCTAATATTTTAATCTTTCCTATAGATTTTCTTGTTCTAATATTTTAGTGTAATTTTACTGTTTTGTAAGATTTTATTCTGGTACTACACAATTTTTTTATGAGTTTCTGGCTCTAATATTTGAATGTTTCTTATAGATATGTTGTTCTAATATTTGAATGTAGACCAACACTAGTTTCTTATAAATTTCTTGATATAATATTTTGTTTTCTTCTACTTTTTCTTATAGCTATCTTGTTCTAATATTTGAATGTGGTTAATCCTAGAACATTTCTTACATATTTCTGGCTGTAATGTTCTAATGTAACTCTAGATTGTGCTGTACAAATTGAAATTCTAACATTTGAATCTGACTATTTCTTACAAGTATTTGCTTATAAAGTGTTTTAATATGGGTTATTTTCTTAAACATCTTGAGCTTGAGTTGTCCATAGAATGATTGTTGTAAGGAAATGATATATTTGAATACATATCAATACTTGTATCTTAATTATTTGGATGATAATTTTCAAAGAATGTTTATTACAAAAATTTCAATTTATGAATGAAACAGACAAACAAAAGAGTTGAAAAATTAAACTCTGCCAAGAAAGAAGTTAATGTGGAAAAACTTCATGACAATGTTGACAATGTGAAGAAATCAGCTATATCGATTCGAAGAAGGAATGTCGCTGTAGGTACGGTATATTTATGTCAGTTATACAGATGAAGTGGTTACAAGCTTGTGGTAACAGATATATCTTGTAATAACAAAGTTATCTTCTGTTGAGCCCTATAAAGACCACGGGGCAGCTCTCAGGGTTTGAGGTCCTATTTGCTTATCAAATTTCCAAGTTTAAGTAAAAATAGTGATTCTAACTCATATTTCAACAATTTCTATACTTAAGGATATCAAAGAAGTGATATATGGTAACCTTCCAAACTTTATTTTGTGAAATTTGTGAAGAAAATTAAAAAGTGTTTTGTTTGATCCTTGTGTCTCCAATGCACTTACAACTTTTTTTTAGAATTTGTCTGCACATCCCAAAGTATAGATTTATATTTATTAAGACCCTAGCATCTCTTAGAAATACACTTTTCCAAGTTTTTATTTCTCACATGACTTCTCTCTCTTAATTGTTTCAATTATCCCGTGTTAAAATGTTTTTGTGATGACATGGTAAGTGGGCTGGAGAGAAACTAATAAATCTTAACCTCAAAAATAAATAGAAAAGATTCTTGTCTCTCTATGCCATTATAAAGTAAATACACTAAGGTAAGCTGTAATGTACAGTTTCTGAGAAAGTGACTAGACGTTGTTGTAGTAGAGAACAAAGGGGTTTTATTCAAAGTTTACAAAACTTAGGACCAAGCCACAAATCTGAGATTTTTTTATAGTTTCTTGTCATTTATGGTAAATTTTTTGTTATGTATAACTGAAAACTTGGGGAGTATTCTTATATTAGAACACATCAAGTAAAGATATTTAGGGTTAGTGAGTGTGGTAAGCTAGGAAGTCTGTGAAGGCAAACTATTCAGTTGACTGAAAAGGTTTTTTAATTCACATTTATTAGTAAATTTATTACTACTTAACACATACAAGTACACAAATGACTTAGTTAATGAAAACAAGTTATAGTTGTAAGAGAGAAACTGAACTTAACCTGAAAAGTATATTTAGAAAATTTCATCTATATCAGTCTAGGCCTAGGAAATGAGTTTTGTTTCTACTTGTCAATGCTTTTATTGTTCATTGATGTTTTGTTATTTTTCATGACTATGTAACTGCTTCACTTAGTAGAGATAAAAAATGGGACTACTATACTACAGGTTAGCAGGTAAGTTGGTTTTGGGCCAGCTACAGGTTAGCAGTTAAGTTGGTTTAGGGCCAGCTACAGGGTAGTAGATGTGAAAAGGATAGAAGCTGAGGCTGATAGGATAAATAATTGTGATTTTATGTTACAATTTGCAGTCATTCTAGAAAAAACAAAGATATTATTGATATTTGACAAATTGCACTCCACAAGGAGTGAATCAAACAAGAAGGGTTACGGATAATTCAAGGTCGTCATCTCTAGGTTGGCTGACCTGGAGTTGTCTTGTAACAAACTCAACGACGATGTCCGTAGCTTCCACTATTGCTTCTCCTACTTCGTCAAGAACAGCTGCAGTTTCCTAAATGGACTGATCCATGTATTCTAAAGATTGCTGAAATCAACTGAAAATTACAATATCTGGACCAGAGGAGAGCCCCATACAGTTTTTAAACACATGCCAGAACAAGTTTTAAGATACAATACAGAATATACTAGAAGTAAAAAAATGACAGCACAAGTTATTTATATATGGAATGCTCTACCAAAATATTTCAAAATAATATGCTAGAACCTTCCAAAATTATTTAGAACATTCTAGAATACTTGGAATATGCAGATATAATGTGAGCTATGCGATAAAATTTGTGTGAATTATTTATTTATATATTGGAACAAATGAAGGACTGAGAATTTTGTAAATCAAAACTTCAAATATAAAGATTACCTAATTTAGTTCGAAATGAAAAGTTGAAAATTTATCTATCGTGCATGATGCTAATGCTCCAGCTGCTACAAATATAATGCCGTGCACGATAGGTGGCATTATATTTGTAGCAGCTGGAGCATTGTGCACGATAGGTGGCATTACGTTTGTAACAGCTGGAGCATCAAGCATGATAGATAGCCAAGACATTATATTTGTAGTAGCTGGAGCATCATGAACAATAGATGGCATTATATTTGTAGCAGCTGGAGCATCATGAACAATAGATGGCATTATATTTGTAGCAGCTGGAGCCTCATGCACAATAGATGGCATTATATTTGTAGCAGCTGGAGCATCATGCACAATAGGTGGCATTATATTTGTAGCAGCTGAAGCCTCATGCACAATAGGTGGCATTATATTTGTAAC